GACTTGCCTCATTTTCTATCCCGTACGAAAAGAAGAAAATGGGGTATCGGATCTAAAAATATAAATAAGATAGGACAAATATGAATAGTTCTTTATATTATAAATATATCGGTTCTTTATATTATAAATATATCGGACATTGTTAAAAACGAAGTATTCACAAATCGGACTTTAATAACAAAAGTTATCGCCAATATAAAATGGTGTTCCCGAAGATAAAATTTCCTCTTTTTCCATGGCGGGGGCACCTGTTCATTTTTTAACCAATCAAAATGAAATATTTGTTAAAGTTACAAATAGGTCAATACAATTTATCACAAATGTTACGCTTATACTTAGAACCTTTTTTCTGAGATTTTGTAAATAAATTAAGTGTATGTAATTAACTATTCTTTCGGTATATAAATATTGATAGACCCTTTAATAGTGTGCACACGTCGGGCATCCAGGTGTTTGATACGGCCCCGTAGGGCTGGCACTATTGGAGGAGTCTGTTAATTTAAGTTGAATGTTAACCACTTTTTGTCTTGTTTAACAGATTTATATGTGGTGTCCGATTCTGATAACGGTTTGAACAATTTGTCAGTGCGTGGTCCGCAAGTTCACATTTTCTCCAGCAAACAGGCGAATATACTAAAATATAATCACTGCCGTGTACAATGAAACTTTATAGGAAATATAAGGTAGTCTAACTAGACAAAACTCATTTTAATTATCAGGTTAAGACGCGAACATTATAACATTACGCGAGGGGTAGTTGCCAAAGTTATATACATGTACTACAGTATAGAATACTGTATGTAAGGTATCAATAATATAGTTTTATTTTTAAATTTTTGAGTCAGTGCACAGCCATTGTATAAAGTGTACACAACTTTTTTAAAAGTGGCCCTAATAAGTGGGCGTGAAACGGTGCTGTAAGGAAGTTTATTTTAATTGTTATATCATTATTTTTACTTCACCTGTTACAGAGTGACAAGGTGAGCTTTTATGACACCGTGTTGTCTGTCGTCTGTCGTCCGTTCGTCCGTGCTTTAACTTTTTCATTCAAATGACTTCTCCTCCGATACCGCTTGGCCAAATTTAATGAAACTTAGCAGGACTGCTCCTTGCATGAAACTGTACTTAAGTGTTCAAAGAATTGAATTTCAATCAGAACTCTGGTTGCCATTGCAACCGAAAGATTTTTTTAGTCTTTAAAAATCTTTTTGTCAAAAACCACAAGGCGTAGAGCTTTGATATTTGGTATGTAACATCACCAAGTGGTCTTCTGCAATTAAATTATTCCCCAAGGGTCAAAAGGGGCCCCATTAGGGGGCTCATCAATATTACATTGGGTTATATAGGAAAATCTTAAAAACTCTTCGGGCAAAAACAACAAGGCCCTGAGCTTTGTTTATATAGAGTTATAAAGGAAAATCTTTAAAAATTCTCTTTTCAAAAACCACAAGGCTGAGAGCTTTGATATTTGGTATGTAACATAATCTACAAAGATTGTTCAAATTATGCCCCTATGGTGAAAAAGGTCCATTTTAGGGGCTCGTCAGTTTGACATAGACTTATATAAGATTTTTTTAATCTTCTTGTCAAAGGCCTAGAGCTTAAGAAACTAAGTCATATAGGTTCAGAAACTAAGTCATCCGATCAGATCTTGGGGAAACCTTTGTAAAACTGAGATCACTTTAAACCCCTGTTCAATTGAAACTGAGAATATTTGTCTTTGCAAACTCGAAATACAGGCATACACCCATACCTCAAGTGAGCGACCCAGGACCCAAGGGCCTTTTTATTAAGTAAATTTTATAGTGGTTTCCGCAGGAAAAAGTTGGCATATTTGCTCCCTGTCTCGGGTGAGCTATTATGATCGATGAATGTCCGTCGTAAGTCCAAATTATTTCGTGAACACTCCAGTGGTCACATGTTTACGGAGCTCCTTAGGTGACATTTTCGACACTTTTTTTCCGGCAATTAATTCGTTTTTACGAAATATTAATTCGTAATTACGAAATATTAATTCGTTTTTACGAAATATTTATACGTTATTATGAAATATTAATTCGTAATAACGAAATAATAATTCGTAATTACGAAATATTAATTCGTTTTTACGAAATATTAATTCGTTTTTACGAAATCTTATTTAAGGTCATTGTGAGCTTGACAAAGAACCTATAACCTCACAAAGGGATCATTTACAAGCCTGGATCAACCTTGAGATTATATACGGAATGGTTCTCAAGTTATTATATTTAAGTGAACAGGGTTTTTGAGTGAGAAGTCATTCTCTATCCAAAATGGCCTCTTTTTCCCCATTGTCAAATACATGTTCCTATCAGCAATGTTTTAATTTTTGAGGCAATTAATCTTTTCTGACATGTTTCTTTAAAAAAGAAACATGCTATATTATTACTTTCTTTTATCATATACATTAGTAAAACTAAAGGGGCGAGGGGGGCTCCAGACTTTCACTAATCTAATCAATTTAAAAAGGTATATTTCCTTACAATTTATGTATGGGCACCGTGCGATCATAAAATCATAACATTTTATTTCAAAACTCAATAATTTCGACTAAACGAAACAGAAAAAATGTCCGTGTTTGGATTTGAAGCACATGACCCCTATTTTAACAAAATTTTCCGTGTACTATCACGGCTGTGGCGGCAACGCTATTGCCAGGCGATTATTTTAATTTATATACAATAGTGTTTAGTTATAAAACTTGGGGAGAAAAAAAAATCACGATTTATATTGCATTTACATTCCTTATATTCAGTCAGGAACTTAGTTTCAAGGCCTTATTAATAACTATTATCAAAACTCTTTGAAACCCTAGAAAAAATTTAATTCTTTTTTACGAAATATCATTTCGTATTTACGAATTACGAATTAATATTTCGTAATTACGAAATAATATTTCGTAATTACGAATACACATTTCGTAAAAACGAATTAATATTTCGTATAAACGAATTAATATTTCGTAATTACGAATTAATATTTCGTAAAAACAATTATTATTTCGTAATTACGAATTATTTTTTCGTTTAAACGAATTAAGTTCCTTGGAAAAAAGTGTGGAAAATGTCACCGTACATATTTGCCTCAATTGTCACGAAACTTAGTCCGAATGTTTGTCCCAGTAATTTTTCAAATTCAAATAAATGGGTCGTCTCGGATGAAAACTACAAAAAAAAAAAAATTCTTGTTAACACTCTAAATATCATTAAATTTATCATTATTAACTCAATTTCAAATTTTGATGACATACAGGGTCATGCAACTAAAATAATGAGAACACAAAACTTGTTAACACAGGTTACATTTTCAGCCCATATTTCCGGGAAATTTGTCAGGAAGGTGATTTATGACGGTTCTTTGCTATAGGCAGTCTTACAAAGTTGCCCCGTACTTCAGTATTGTTATATCCTTCTGGTCCTTCAGGATCATTGATGCCAGCACTATTAAGTGTTGAGAATTGAGTACCACTCAAGCCGGTGCTAGGGGGTATTTATTCATTGTACTTCCATGAAACAAATGGAATCACAAACCTGTTACATGCTCTAATCATTGAAATCATTGAAAACTAATTGCCATAAGTCGTGATGTCAAAAGAAATTTTATAATGTATTTTTATGCTGAAGATTAATGCATTTCTGGCTTTTAAAAATAAAATGGTCACTATTTAAAATTAAATTCATTTAAATGCATCAATTTGCATCTTAGCTATCTTTTAAAATTCTTATGACAGAAAATTCATTGCTTTGAATTAGTCAGACAGCATCAATCTTTACTACTTTTCAAATCACAATTTTGATTCCTTGTATTGTCAATTTTAATTTGAATATTTACTATACATGTATCTATTTTTTGTTCTGCAAAATTTATCTCGTATTTCAAATTGGCAATTTCAATAAAAAAATTAAACTGATCATACTAGACTTGTTATTTTTGTGAGAATGCAATGAAACCCTTCAAGAAGAAATTGTGATACTGTTTTGACATGTACTCACTATCACTGATATTTAATCCATGATGGAACACTGATAATGCATATTAAATAAAAGACAAAACATTGTTTCTTTTAGAGTTTTTTGAACACTATTAAGGCTATACACCGGTTAATGATTACCTAAATATCAAAGTGATAATACTTATAATCCCCGAGAATTAGCATGCCTTATAAGTAGAAAAATTAATAATTCAGTTTCATTGGTTTCATATAAATTTATCAACACAATCGATTTTCCAGTGCTTTTAGTGTTTTGATTATGACCGAGCTACATCTGATCAATATAGAGTTGTCGATTTAAATCATTTCATAGCAGAAATTTCTTCAAATATTGTATCTGTCGCATCAAATCCAAGCTTATAGTTCATGTCAATTGCTTGTTTACAACTATATTCTTAAACAATAGATTTTGATTTCGTATGTTTTAAATGAGGCAACACATGTTTGTCACAATCATGCTTGCTAGAGTCGGTATCATTAAAACAATCATAATTCCGGCTCTTTCCATGTGATTCGTTAAAAAGCGAGTCGTATCTAAGGATATCCAGGGACACAATAATCATATCCCGGAAAAGTAAGACCTCCGGAAAACATTCTGTATTTTAATTTTAACTTTGTTAAAGTTCGTTCCATTTCTGAGATGGAATATTGTGGATGAGTGCAAAACACATTATAATATATACTATTGCTGTAGCATAGAATTTCACAAATGCATTCTTGTTTTTATCGTATTTTATTATAGACATATCCGTTCACACAGTCAAAATGTCATGTCTTATGACAGAATATTAAAATTCCTCATAAAACATTTACAAACCATGCATATTTTCAAAAAGTATCATTCAAATTTATTAACATGTCATTTTTTTAAAATAACTATATTCTAGATGGATTTTAATAAACAAACAGTTTGATTAAGTCTGGTTTCAATTCAGTCAATGATATATGTTTGTTTAACCTAATAATGACACTCGTTCATTACTTTTAGCATTCCTTGTACCGTTTCGAGAGTCAGTATTACAGCAAATTGCAGTGGGATGGAACAAAACAATCAAAGACAGTGCCTTGCTCAAAGTGAAAATGCAGAAATGCAGTGAGGAGATCAAAGCTACGGTAGAGAGCTGTAAAACATGCGCCGCAAATACATGCCAGTGAGATATTTTCTTAGTTTTCTAAAACTGTGTGTTTAAAATTTAAATTTACTCTTGGTGATAACTGTCAACTTGAAAACATGACATATTTTAAAGCTAATATTAAACACTAAGCTTTCCTTTAATTTGAAGCTCCCTTAAAACTACGATGATTACAAAGTTCATGATGACTGTTTAAAAGAGAGAAAACTATAGGAAGTATATGAAGCAAATCTTTAAATCCCACTCGTTAACAACTGCCGAAGCTTAGTTGGTAGATGTGTAGTATTCTTATATCAGTTTTAATAACAATAAAGGCTTATCAGGAAGTTATTTAAGTGGAAATACTAAAACTGCATCGTCCGTCTTACTTCCCGCATATGCGGCTGTTTTTTATGTTAAAAATGCATGAACATAATATATCACAATTGTTCAATATGTCGTATGTGTACTATATCCACGTCCCTACTTCAAAGTTTATATTCACATTTAGAATTCGAAGAAAACGAAATTTCGTTGAAACTTACACAAAATTGTTAATTACAGCAGGATATAAAATTAGGCGTTGTTTGATTTAATGTAGCTACTCGAAAACGGACTGAAATTCGTCTTAAGGCCCAATAAGTCTAAGAAATGGTTTTATTTTTATTTCTCAAAGCCTTTTTGAAATTTTTATTGATGCTTCAAAAAAGTATTTGCCCAATTATCTGAACCATCTTTTGTTTCTGTTGTTTTTCGTGCAATTAGTACAATTATTATAGTGATCTATGATTTTACGGAAGTAAAAGAAAACAACATTGTTTAAATGTTGGTACTTTATGTTTAACCTTTACATTAAATAATATAATTTTGTTTATATATACCAAAAGATTTTAAATATTTGTATAGACCTACATTTTTTTCTTTGTTATTGTTAAATCAGAAGGCCATACTGAAAATAAGTATACTTGTTACTGTAAACTTTGTATGTTACCTTCTATAAATAAAGATTTTATTATTATTATTATTATTATTATTATTATTATTATTATTATTATTATTATGTTTGTTGTACCGAATCATGAGTCCGCACCGAAATTTGTGACACCGTATACATTAGCGCTAGACTTGCACCGCATTATGATGATTAACCTCGCGCTGAATATTCTTATTTGTATTTATTTATTGTTGCCCATCTGGGCGAGGTCTCTAGAAGTATATTTATCATTAAAATGACAGGGTCTCATATTTCATATGTTTGGAGCAAACACTGGTTTATTTATGTAACGTTCAACGTTTTTTCAACACATCTTCTCCAAATGTTTGACATTAGATTGTGTCGCATTGCTGTTATGAAGCAAATGTGCATATTGGCATGTTAATTCCAAAGATGAGGATGTTCTCATCCGTCCGCATGAATTTGTACATGTGATAATTTCCTATTCTACTCGATTCTCTTGCTAGTCAAAGTACTCTGAATATTGAGTTTACAGGGCATTGGAATGCAATTAAATTTTTATGCTTAGAGTGCAAGTAACCTGTTTTTTTTGGGGTACATGATAAGGATCTGTAAGCCGGATATGACTGGTTTATGTGATTTTTTTTGTAAAAACAACTAAAATGAAGAGATAATTATTTTTTAATATAAAAGAATACACGTAGTGTGTTGAAATTATCAAAACGACAAAAAAGGATAAAATATAGTATATTTTGATGCAGATTACTTCCCCTGACACTATGTAAGCAATTCCGCGCGATTTCCTGTACAGGCCGCGGTGAGAATTAACTTGAATAAAGTTTCCTTTTAAAAGGAAAGGCTTGCACAGTTGTGCCTTCATCCTAACCCTTTAAAATTGTTTTTTTTTGGTTTCAATTTATTATCACATTTTTTTTAATTACGGTATTTGTATATCATAAAGGGTTTATTTAGTTGGTTTTTTTGTTTGGAAAACCGAATATTTTTTGTCAAAACGATTTGAAATCTATTCTCTATTGTATAAAACTAATAAAGAAAATGATCAATCGTAAAAATACTAACGTGATACTGAAGGAAAACAAGTGTGCACATTTCATTTCCCCTTTTTCGCAGCGAAATCATTCCTTTGCTTTATAGACAAGTAAATGCACTAAAATACTTCGTTACGTGTTACCAATTAATAAGCATGTATCAACTATGTTACACGATCACAAATAGTCGGTGCGCTATCTGTAGATCAGCAAGTGGCAAGGTTAATGATATGCATGGGCTATTTTTAGATTACCTCACCAAGAAGTTGAATTGCGTTCAGTAGATCTAAATATAATTAACTCGATCATGCGTGATTTGGTAAGCAGGACCACCCTTTGAAGACGGAATACTACTACAGTCACCATTCTCTATTGTATAAAACTAATACAGACAAAAAACAATTATAAAAGAAACGAACTTTTGCGTCTTGAAAAACAATTGAAACGGAACAATTTCGTTTATAATTTATTACGGTTTAAACCGATAAATCAAGTAAAAATAGAAATCCTATTTATATAAACAAACTGGGATTACCGAAGTAACTAAAATAGCTTAGATTTCCGTAATATTACTTCGTCTGATTCCGCAGAATGACGGAATCGCCCGAATTGTCACAATTGCAATCGGAACTACATCGGCTATTATCATTAATCCGAAGAATGACGGAAAAGGCCGAAAAGTTGCGATTGGCACGATTGCAGCTGGTTTCCCGTTCAATCATGCACCAACAGATGTATGCAGGAAACCACCTAACCGGAACAAGTTTTCCAAATGAAATGGCTTGCAGCCGTGGCTGCAAGCCAAAATATCTCATTTTTTACTTATATGAACATTTTTTTATGCAAAAGAAAAAAAACAGCAACAGGCATGTGATTAATGTACTTCCATTCTAATACAAATTAAAAAAAACCGACCAGACAAAAGTCCATTTGTATCAAAATCAAACTCAATTTTTATTTAACATTTTTTACAACTAGCTTATATATCTTAAAATGTTTTTAATTTAAGCCTTATCAAATGCCCAACACATGAGCAGTGATTTTAATTGTTAGGAAAGCTGCGTATTTTTATTCTGTTTTAGGGGCATGCTTTTATAATAAGTGTTTTGTACTTTACTGAAAAGAACGTGATGAAAAGATAATTCCTATAAATATAATATATTTTCCTCAGGATCTTAAAGCTGCATGCCTCCAGATGAGCCAAATTTTTTAAGACAATAAAACTTTGGATAGATAACTAAGATTGTAAGAATGGTAAAAAGATTCAAAATTCAAGTACTAATTTATATCTTATGTGCTTCGAATTACTGATTCTGCAGTATTGATTATCATATTTCTACTGCGTTACTAACGTATTAAGGGATATTTATGCATATTTTGCCCTCTTTTTGGTAATTTAAATGGATTGTAAGTACCGTTTGCAATGTGTTAATTTACTCTCTTTGTTCATTTCACAATATCTTACTTTTAAATACATTTTCAAAATTTTCTTGAAAATAAGGATAAATGTGGAGGCGTGCTGCTTTAATTGAAGATAACTGTCCAAGAAAGTTTTGAACAAGATAAATTCTTAAACTAAAGACATGTTTCCAAATAATGATTGAAGCTCATTTTCCTAGACACATACTCTGGTATGGCTTTTTACTGAAATATGGCGCTTTGTGAGCTTATAAATTTCTTTGCTGAATATCCAAGAATCTTTACTATGCCTTGTACTTATTCCCCTCTGTTAATACCAAACACTGAAAATAATCGAGCGCGGTCCTACTGACAACTCTATATCACACAGAAATACTTATAAAAAGCTATTTTCTCGAATGGCACTTAAAACTTCTATCTTTCCTTTTAGCTACAAATAAATTTTTTTGACAGAAATGAACGACATAAATGTAATGAAATATTTTTCGAAAAAAAAAAAAAAACAAAAGCACAAAAAAACAAACAAAAAACAACAACAACAACAAATGGCTATAAATTAGCTGATTTTTCCCGTTTAATATTTTTAGACAACAGCGCCAAAGTGTTAGCCATTCACCAACCTTCACAGATTATCTAAACGTGGCATTAAATTTGGCTAACCCTGTACAGTACCTTAAAGAACCACTTAATGAGATTGGGGACAGATTTAGCGACCTTATTGATCTTCTTGGATCCGGAAGTGATTCTTTTATTGACTCGATGAGTGCTCTTGGAAACAGTGCAGGCGGTGCTTTTAAAGTACGTTATTTTATTGTTGTAGGCCTCTTACTATAAGACACTATGGTGTTACTTGTCCTTATCTTTTTAAATCTTTAACATCAGTTACTGTTGTATGTTTTTATGCTCTCCGAAGGGAGAGCACAGAGTCACCGATTTGTCCGTCCGTCCGTCTGTCCCCTGACATAACTGAAACTACAGGAGATATCAACAAGAAACCTTGTTGGTAGAAAGATCTCATTTGGTAGAAGAGCAGTGAAAAAGAACCGCAACTCTGCCTTACCTAATTTTGGAGTTATTGCTCTTTGTTCGTTTTTACACTTTTAGCTTTTTCCGGGACATAATTGAAAGCACAAGAGGTATTAACAAGAAACATTGTATGTATATAGATCTCATTGAGTAGAAGTGCAGTACAAAAGAATCGTAATTATGCCTTGCCTAATTTTGGAATTAATGCCATTTTTACACTTTGGACTTTGTCCAAGACTATAACTCTGAAACTACAAGAGATATCAACAAGAAACTTCGTAGGTATATAGATATCATTGTGTAGAAGTGCATTGCATAAAAGCCATAACTCGGCTATTCCTGATTTTGGAGTTATTGCCCTCTTTTCAATTTTAAACTTTGTCGGTGACATAACTCTAAAACTACAAGAGGAAACTTTGTAGGTAGATATATCTCATTGAGTAACAGTGTAGTGCAAAAAAAAAACATAACTCTGCCTTCCCTGATTTTGGATTGATCGGTCTTTGTTCATTTTTATACTCTGAACTTTTTCCGGGCATAACTCTGAAACTACAAGAGATATCAACAAGAAACTATATAGGTAAATATATAGCAATAAGTAGAAGTGCAATGCATAAAACCCGTAACTCTGCCTTTTTTAATGCATAGTTTACAATGTTTATTGTTCCTTGTCATTTAGAAATTTGGTAACCAGGTGAGAAATATGAGGGCCCTCTTGTTTATCTATTTTGATATACATATATGTATATAATGAGTACCCTTTTTAAGATATTGAAAATCTTCTTTTAAATCATAATATATATATATATATCAATAAATAAATAAATAAACACTTTTTTCTGGCACTTTTATCTTGTTGATTAACTATAACTGCTATTCGAATGAATGTTTTTGTGATTCAAATATTAGGACGCTTTTCATGGCGTAGAGTATGGTTTCAACTCTATCAAAGATCAGCTGGCTAGTCTTGGCAATTCCGTTGCTAGTGGTATTAAAGATGCAGGAAACAGTATTGGAGATGGGTTGAACAATGCTGGCAATGCAATCTCACACGCTGGTCATAGCGTTATTCACAGTATAGGAAGTAAGTCATAACATTCCAATATATTTATAAAGTTAAGTATGCCAACATTAAATTGTTATGACACACCCCTAACTTGCAAATTTGTTTTTTTATGTTCAAATGCGTGTCCAAATATTGCAAAAAGAGGTTTGCAACCAAACTAATAAGGATTCCAAACAGTGCTTATTTGGGGGTAACCACCTGGTTGTTGCCCTCTGGTGGTGGTGATGGTGATCATTTGTGTCAATAGCTCAGTAGTTTAAAAGTTTAAAATTGTTTACTTTTAACATTTGACCTCTATGTGTCACTTTGACCTTGAGGGTAGCAACCTGAATGTATCTTGAGGGTAGCAACCGCGATGTTGTGCTGTGCAGATTGTGTCATGGTGGGGATTATTTGTGCCAAGTAATTTTAAAACCTTTGAATTGTCAATAAGTTTTAAAGCCGACATGAAAAATAGATGTTTTATCATTGGACCTTTGAGTGAGATTATGTGACTTGATTGTTGTGCTCTACACATGGTGTCATAATAGTGATTATTTCAGCCAAGTTATCTTAAAAACATTGCAGCAGTTTAAATGTTATAGAGGAAACATGAACTGTAGACCTTTTAAGACGTGACCTTTAAGTTACAGTAGACTAGCAACCTGATTATTGCACTCTTCACATCGTTCCATAATGGTGATCACTTGTGCCAAGTAATTTCAACAAGTTATGAAGCGGACACAAAAGTGAAACGGACGGACACACGAAAGGACGGACATAATTCTCTCCCCGCTTTGTGGAAGGGTATTAAATTTTAAAACCTTTAAATTGTCAATAAGTTAAAGAGGGGACATGAAAAATAGATGTTTTAATATTGTGACCTTGATCGTGTGGGTAGTGACTTGGATGTTGATCTCTGCGCATGGTTCGACAATGGTGATCTTTCTGTCAGGTTATCTTAAAAAAACGTGGTTTAAATGTAATGGAGTGGACACGAACTGTAGACCTTTTAACACTTGACCTTTTAGAATGACATTGATGACCCTGACCTTGGAGGAAGCAACCCTATTATTGCGCTATGCACATCGTCTCATAAAGGTGATTACTTGTGCCAAGTTATTTCAAATTTTAGCAGCTTAAAAATTATGGAGCGGACACGGAATGTAGACTTTTTAACATTAGACCTTTAAATGTGACCTTGGGGTAGCAACCTAATTATAGCGCTCTGCACATCGTCTTATTATGGTGATCACTTTTGCTAAGTTATTTTAATTTTTTGAAATTAAACAACAAAGAAATAAATATAAATAAGTACTTTGTTTCACTTTTTAAAACAATTATCAAACATCGAAGAATATGTAAAATATGTACTGACTGCAAATATTTGTGCACATTATATGTAATCATTAAAATATATGCATTCATTTCTTATTGACAAATTTGACTTAGACATTATAGAAAATAATTTTTTATTACCTCCCTTTATTTACATGAAATGTTATTTATAAATAATGCTTTAATGACCGTTAAAGGTATGCACCTACCAAATCTGAAAGATATCATTAAATAAATTAAGTAATTAGGTGAAATTTTTTGATAAATCCAACTTGGCGGAATAGGTTAACCATACAAGGCCCTATTTTCAAAGTGATAAAAAAGGAAATTACTGGGAAAATGGATGGCACATTTATATAACTTGGGAATATCATGTACATTGTATTGATAAGTAAGTGTGAAAATTATTAAGCCATTACTTCAGATAGAACATATGCACAAGACAATTCCTAAATTGCATTTTGTGTTTTGTTTTCTTTTCTCAAAGTTGATTTTCCTTATTAGATGGTAAATAATTTATTTCCGGTGGAGAGAAACGATTAGGAAATAAATATATTTATCATAGATTAAAGTAAATCATCTAGTTTTAGTGAGTATCACCCTTTAAGGTTGTAGTATTTATGGTACTCAGTTTTGCACGGATTTTCCATGCTTGTAAAGTATTGATAATTGTTGTTAAGATTTTTTCTTGCATTGTGCAGTAAACACATTCATTACGTTTCCCAGTCCACCCACCTGTTTTTTAGCATAAATGATTTTTAATGTTTATATTGAAAGAAAATGATTTGTTCATAGTTAACTGTAAGGATTTGTTAAAGGTACATCATGATGCAGAAACGTATTATTCATTCGTTGTTAAGAAAGGGCAATCTTGAATATATCAGTGTTTATATCACAGTTTTAGGGCGTGTTAAATGTTCATTACCTGAAGATGTTAATTTATTGGTCTTTAACTTTCTGGAGAGTATATCAGGACGCTAATATTAAAGTTTATCAGTAACAAAATTTATGAAAGCATTTCTGTGGCTTACTGGGCCTTTAACCCTTCCCCCATGAGCAAATTGTGAAAAATGACCATTTTCACTGAAGAGCCTCCTCTTACAAGTTCAAACTGCTATGAAACTATGAAAAATGCTTCAATACTAACCAAACTTGGCACAAATGTTGACTGGACCATTGCCTTTGTAACGACATGCTCAGTCTTGAATTTCCTGTTACCATGGCAACGAGGGGACATCTCAAAATTGCCAAAAATCACTATTTTGCCTCGATTTTTCCCATCAAAATTTATTTCAAAGTGCTGCAACTTCTCAAGGGATTGAGATAGAGTCAAAGGCTTTTCAGCGTTGGTAACACGTTACCTTATGATCGACCTGGGGTCATTTTAAGCCTCTCACAAGTCCAAAATTTTCTTGGCGATGAGGGGGACTCCGCCCCCCTTCAAACCCCCCAAACAGAAAGGGGCACATCCCCCTTCTGGCAGCCCCCTGATGTATCATTTGGATGGGGGCGGCGCCGAAAAAGTGCTCACTTTTTTAGCAACATTTCTCAAACGAAAACATGTGTTTGGGGCCAAAATAGGACATTTTTTTAATTATTTCAGGCCTAAAAAAAAGGGGGGGGGGTTCGAAAGTGCGTTGTTTCGCGTATATATGAGGTAAAGGGTAAATTATTTTTTCAGGATTTATTTTACTAGTATGCTGTAGATTTTTTGATTTCTATATTATTTTGTTTAAATGCTCTCATAATGTTTGTTTTTCTGTTTTTCTCGACAGCAATTGTTTTGTTGAAAGCTCAATTAATATAATATATCCTTTAAGTGATACAAAATCTTTCTGTAGGAATACTTGTCATAAACATAAGAATTTTACAACCTTATGCTACTTTTTTATTCAAAATATTGTAAATGGATTGTACTGCTGATAAATGATAATAATATATATACATGTATGTTTGTTTGATAAGTTTATAGTTGAATTTGATATACAAAATTTGTTGGTCGATATGCTATTGTATAACACAATGCACAAGACAATTCCTAAATAGCATTTTGTGTTTTGTTATCTTTTCTCAGAGTTGATTTACCTTATTAGATGGTAAATAATTTATATCCGGTTGAGAGAAACGAATTAGGAAATAAATATTTAAACAGTATCAAAGGCAACTTTAAATTCGTTTGTAATACACATGTTTGCTAGGACAGGAGCGAATTGCGTACAGACACGTTCGTCATGTATTTTTGCCCGCCATTTTGGGTTTCTACGCGTACGCACGGTAACTCTTTATACTATACTATGATCTTAACTATGGATCTTAAGCTTAAATGCTAAGCTTTCATTTTTATTTCCGCTTCAGATGTTTTTTTAGGGCCAGTCTTGAAAATTTTGGATGATTAATATCAGTAGAGGGAATCAAAAATAAATAGTGGAAAATCGTGGAAACCCATTAGCACCAACTTAATAAGTGATTCCGATTATCAGGAATCATTTTGACGATGAGCAGAGACTAGCTCCGGGTTTTGACTTAATATCAATATCAACTCACATCTTAATTCAGGGGGATTTTTTTTAAAGATATTGAATGAAATGCTTCTAAACTCACGGAAACACTATAAAAAATAAATTAATTATTAAAACAAGAATGTCATCTTAAATGTAGCAATTGACTGTCAAAAATTCAAGCATCAGCTTTCGGTTCGCATTTCATGTGTTGTGTATAGTTGTTTGAAATAAACAATGTTTAAATTAACATTTGACTGTGGCAATTGAAAGCATCTAATATAGGAAATTGGCGAGAAATATAGTCTGTCTTACTTGTAATGAAATGGTTGGGAAAGTTGTCGATTGTGTACTATGGTCGGCAATAAATCAAGTTATGTGACATAAATTTCATTGCGAATTGAAAAAAAGGATAGGAAATAGGTCATATTAGGGTTGAAATGTCAAATTTAGGGTAGAAAATATCACACACGAATTACAAATAACGATTTAATTATGAATTATGGCATAATGTATAACGAATAAGTTTATAATCATTTTAATCAAATGTTTCATTTTTATAAATAGGTATTTTTGGCAGAAAACGAGCGGTTGTTAGTCCGGAGATCAGGGCATGTATGATTCCATGTCTTGTTTGCAATCCTTTACTCATGCCAGATCAGAGGAACATGATAAGTGCAGGTGTGTCAAAATAACAAATTGAAACAAATAGTCATTTTCAGCAATAAGCATATGTAGAATAAAGCAAATAATTACATGAATATGTTATTACTAGTAAAATGGTAGATATCGGAGTTTTTTTAAAATTTGAAAACATTCCTTTTTTTGAATAGTATTGAATAGTCTTTAGAGCATCGATGAAAAGTTCAACGACACAGTTAGGGCAAATGTTAAAATGAGCAAGGGTATATTCGCTGTATTCAAGCCAACCCTATCACCACAAAGCCGGAGCTTTGAAATAAATTACATACACTTTTTAGCTTACCTGAGCACAAAGTGCTCAAGGTGAGGTTTTGTGACCACAATTTGTCCGGCATCCATTGTCCGTCAGTGCGAACGTCATCAACTTTTAATACAAACAACTTCTTCTCAGAAACCACTGGGCCAAATGTGATGAAATTTTCCTTGGATGTTCCTAGCATGAAGCTCTTCTAAAATTGTTCAAATGGTTCTGCTCAATTGAACATCTGGGTCAGGAGGGCTAAAATAGGTTTTGAAATGAAATCACTAAAAATCATCTTCTCTGAAAATGCAATGTCTAGAGCTTAAATAGTTTGTGTGTAACATCAAATAGATGTCTCCCAAGTTTGTTCAAATAAAAGCCCTAGGGTCAAAATTGACCCAGCCCCAGGGGGTCATTGTGAAAATCCAAAATCACTAGAGCATAGATATTTGGCATGAAATATCTTCTAGTGGATGCCACTATGTCTGGTCAAACAAAAGCCCTAGGGTAAAAATTGACCCATTCCCACGGGTCATTGATTTTCGTTTCCATTCTGGCTTAGTTATCTCCCTTTATTTAATATTAATAGATAGACTAAAAATCCTGTTTGTTTTGTGATTGATATTGTTACTGTGTGTATACGATGATGATGAAGTTAAAGCTTAATGAGGGTCAATCCGCCCTTCGGACACACAATGCAGCTTTCGCTGTCGAGTACGGACCCCGGACATGTCACCAGTCATGTCCTTAAAGAGTTAATTTTGAAGCACAAAGTGGTGATAATTTACCTCCATGCAATTTCCACGGAGTATTAGCCAAAGATATGAATTTTGAGCCAAAAGTAGGTCACTGTACGGCGGTCAATGAGAACCTAAATGTACAGTAACCTGTGACAATAGGAAAGGTTAGCCCTGAAAAGGGTTGTTTGTGCCAGGAAAAGGCCTGCCGTTCAAGCCGTCTAACCGTGCTAGGGGCTTACGCACCCTAGCGACCAAAGCGCCTACTTTGTAGGGCCACTCCCCTCGGCATTAGTCAGGACACCGGCAGCTGGTCCGCAGCACAAGTTTCAATCTTTTGTCGTCGCCCCAGTCTTCAAATCTTCTGCCGATGCCCTGTGCCTTCTCAGAGACGTGCACACTCCGAGGGGAAATGAGAAGACTGTGTGTATACCACACTCGCAAAAAATAATACATGTATATAATTATGCATATAAAACAATTTTCAAACATCGAAGAAGTTGTAAAATGTGTACTGCAAATATTTGTGCACATTATATTTAGTCAATAAATTACATGCATTCAATTCTTTTTGGGGAAGTTAACTTAGAATTTATAGAAAATAAATTTCTAATTACCTCCCTTTATTTACAATAAATGTTAAATTGGGTAATATCTTTATAAATAATGCTTATTGGAACTTACAATATTGACAAATCGTAATTTGAGCATCATACTTATGAAATAAAACCATGAAAAAAATGTATTACAGGATCTTTAAATAAATTTTTGCATTCATAACAAGAAAATAAATAAGACTTTTTAATCATTATTTTTTAACTTATGGTTAATTAAGATATGAGGAAAATATTCATCTAATAAAAAATAAATTTATTAATCTTCTTAAACCCAATCATCTTGTAATTGCAGTATATATACCAAGAAAATCTCGAAGCTAAGACTCTGAGCCGTCAGGTTAGCTCAATAGGTAGAGCGCTGGACTGTGAATCGGACGACCCGGGTTCGATTCCGGACGGCGCAGGTCACTTTCGTAGTGATTGATCATGGAATCCTTTCTACGGTCATTCGCACTGTACCTCTGCTCTGGCACGTACAAAAGTCAGTTCCTTGCGAAAGTGAAGGCAACTAGTACTGGTAAACTGCTTGACAGCCTGCCCAGGAATGATGCAGTGGTTGAATTGTGCTCTGGTGAATTCATTGTGGCTTACTGTCGTGATCCTGAGTGAAAACTACCAAAACCACAACCAAGCTAACACTCTTTTAGCCGCCCGGTTAGCTCAATAGGTAGAGCGTAGGACTGTGAATCGAGCGACCCGGGTTCGATTCCCGGACGGCGCAGGTCACTTTCGTCGTGATTGATCATGGAATCCTTTCTACGGTCATTCGCCATGTACATCTGCTCTGGCACGTACAGAAGTTTTAGTTCCTTGCGAAAGTGAAGGCAACTAGTACTGGTAAACTGCATGACAGCATGTCCAGGAACGATGCGGTGGTTGAACTGTGCTCTGGTGAATTTGATGTGGCTTACTTTCGTGATCCGGAGTGTAAACTATCAACACCACCACCAAGCAAACACTTTAGCTACATACATGTATTGATGTTAACACATAAAAAAGCATATGGCTACTGCTGTAAATACTTTAACTTATCACGATGAATACACAACATGACTATATTAATTAGTGAAAAGCCCAAGCTAACTGTAAGTTTTAATTATCCCTTTATAATTACATTGTGTTACCTCTGTAAATGCAATTTAAACTGCAGTCATGCCCTATGTCAAGACCCCGTAACACAACTTGTTTATGGTTTTATATCATAAATCTGATGCTCATATGACCTCTATAATGGATCTTTACATTTATTATTTTTCAAATGATAGCCCTTAGGTCAAAATTGGCCCTGTCCCGAGAACATTGATTTCTTTTTATATATATATGGTAAAAACTTTAAAAAAAATCTAAATCTACAGAAGCTAAAGCTTACCAGTGACTCCATAGCAGCCATTTACAATTTCATAGCAACCCATGACTTCCATAGCAAACATTATCTTATCTAATATTAATTTCACAGCAGGCACTGACTTTCAAGGAAACCATTTATTTTGTACAGCAACCAGTGACTTCTAATGGAACTGTTGTTTTCCCTTGGCAAAAACAACTAGTAATGTTTTACATGTGCACTATTTCAGATACAAATATAAACTTTTTGATATCAGTTTAAGATTTAGATTTTACATCTGCTTTTGTTTATAGTTTACTATATAACACTTGTTCCTTGTCATTGAGAGAATTGATATTCAGGTGAGCGATATTAGGGGTCATAATAGCCCTCTTGTTTTTGAATATATTCCTTTTTTAACAGTCTGCGGAGCCGACGTTGTAAAGTTCAACGACACAGTTCGGGCAAATGTTAAAATGATCAAGGGAATGTTCACTGCTATATCTGATAAAGTTAATCCTGTCATCACAAAGGTAAGCTGGGGACACTTAGTACTGTGGTCCTACTGCTTATCATATTACAACTCTGTTAGACATCAAAACAAACCTATGCTCTGTTAAAACATGTATTAGCTTTACTTCCTATAAATTTCTCAACTGTAAAAGAAACCTGTAAGCCGAACATTTTTTTTTATCATCTAGAACTCTTTACCTTTTTAGCTAAACATGTTTTGTTTTAAAAATTGAATATACTTCAATTCTGCCAGCTAAGCTTTATTTCTATTCTTAACTTCTTCAAAACATAGACTATATGCATTGTAGATCACATGAGCACAAAGTGCTTACAGGAGAATTTTTGTGATGGCAACTGTACATGTCCGTCGGATATAATTATCTACAATCTCTACTTTTTTCTTCATTTACGTGTAAACCTGGCATCATATCTCTATTAATATTGTTTTTCCACCAAAACGAAATGAATAATTAATTTTGGGTTTTCAAAAACTCATTCAAACAATCAGTTAAACAGTCAAATTATCTATCAATTAATCACTCATACAATCAGTCAATGAAAACTTATTTTACTCAATTTACTTATAAGAAAATAGTCGTAATTATTCATTATCATCATTTCCTTTATACAATACTTAAATGAAACGTGCTAATACTTGTGGTGACTTAAACAACATGAGCACTTCGTTAATCAGCTGTATTTTTAGTAAACATGCATGTCAAAGATAATAGGTTTGGAACTATTGAAAATTCTTTTTAAGACAAAGATGTATTCTTTTGCAGATAGAGTTTTGCCCGGAATCTCAAGTCGGTGTCACGTACACTAGTATTTACGTAACAGCTAACGTAAAGGGGCGTTACTTGCGTTATAAGTCTAGTGTCACGTACGATATGATGAACATGGGATCGTCTGCAAGAAACGTTGCAACAGAGTTTTGGAAGAAATGGACAGAATAAAAGAACTGCACTGTATATGCAAAAATAGTAAAGATGACAAATGGATACGCCTTTTTATTTTTTCATGCCCCGAACTGAGGAATATATATAGTATACACCCGTCAGCCGTGCATAGGCGTAGCGCCTATTATTCACAACACGCACTTGTGTATAAAGATTCCACGATCAAATTACCATTTTAAATCGATTTTTTTTTGCAATGTCAACTAAAAGTTTAACATATTCAGTGTGTATTGTCTCTTGTGTCAATCAATTATCGTTAATTTCTGAGTGAAAACCACCCCATGTTCGTTCAAAAGCACTAAATAGTTAACGTTTACCTATTAACTATATGCTGGCGTCATGTAATAATTTGTGGTTGATTTAAAATTTAAACAACTACATTGCAAATATTTAGAATTCTATATTTCAAATTATACTACTCAAAGTCTGCTAAGCACCAGGCGTATTTTTGTACCTATCTTATGTACGAGTACAAAATCAATTGAAGATTTTTTACAGTCGATAAACATTTTTGAAAACCAAAACTTAAACGTTCTTTGAGATGAATTAGAAACTGAAATGAGTAAATTTTATAATGCACAAATTATTACATTATAACTCCGATAAACATAGTAACAGTTATGGTAATAGATTTATTGATTTTACAATTAAATAACATGTATATATTAAATGGTAGAACTACTGGCGATGATGCCGGAAGTACTACTTGTAAAGGTACCAATGTTGTTGATTATTTTAATGTAATTCAAATCTGTTTTAAAAAAGTACTCTATCTTACTGTTAAAGGTTTTTGTCCCATTTTATCAGATGCACATAATCCTATTGTTTTAATATTGAATATTAACCAAATTGAAATTGTTGAAAGGGTATAAATCTATATCCTAAAAAATGCTTTCACCGATGCCTACCTGGTAAGGAAAGTAATTCCATTGTATACAAACAAGACTTACAAGACTTGTAAATGTTATGTGACATGACTGTAATGTGTTCTGTTTGTGTCACTACTGTAGTCAGTAACATAAGATGATAAAAATATCAAAGTCTGTTTTTTATTATTATTATTGTAACAAATATACAAATAGTAACAAAAGGGACTAATATTATAATATAGTAATATTACATGTCAAATTAAAAGAAATGGTTTCTTTCAATACTGAAAGTAGAACACACTCTGGAATGAAAAAATGGGATGAATTTCAAAAAGACCAAATTCAGGAATTTTTTTGTTTGTTATACACGCGTTACATGGTGATACAGTATTTATCAATATAATAGAAGACTGTCACCTGAATTTTAGGTAGGTATGAGGAAATTCACTAACATCATGTTCGTGCGTCTCGACAAAGATATGAATTAAAGCTATTTGACATTGGTAATATATATAAAAAAAACTATTGTTAATTAATTTATTGGGAGATCAATATATATTTTTTGTTGAATTGCTTTAAAACCATTCATAAAAAACATTACAAACTGCAGATCAAAGTTTCAGTTGTTGTCATGATATATATCTATAGCCTATGCTTAATGAGGGTCCATCCGCTCTTAAGGCCACAAAATGCAGCTTTCCCTGTCGAGTACGGACCCCCCGAACATGTCACCAGTCATACCCTTAATTTTTTTCTTTTTTACAAAGTGGTATGCTGTACCAATGACGCGAATGAAATGTAACCTTATATACTAAAGTTTAATTATTTCAAAACAACCAATATATCAACATGTTATTATTAAACATTTAATTTCATAAATATAAATTAAAAAAAAAATTCAAAAGCAAAATTGTTAAAGTATTATGCCTAAAATCTTCTTTATATTGACAAATTCAATCACTAATAGTATACTTGATATGCTGTGTGTAAATGTAATTCAAAATGTAACAAATTATAATTTCATGTACTACTAAAAAAGAGAAATAACAAATTTATAACATAAGTGTCAAAAATCAGAACATTTATAGCTATTTATAGCTTTCGAATTCATGTACAGCAGAACTGCTTTCCGGTTCTCATTCATTAATATGACATGCTGCGAACCAATATAGAAACCGAAAGGAGTTCTTGAATGCGGATTTACTTTTAGCTGTAAATCGAAAGGATTTATTGATCAAATCCGGGCCCATGGACAAAAAAATAGTAAACACAAATAGCTCCGCACCTGTGGGCGCGGAGCAATGAAATGTTTAAAAAAAATATCAACAGTAAAATTGTATTGGTTCCATTATTAAATGGTTAATTCCCAAAAAAGTTGTAACATAGAATGTCTCCATTATTGAATACACATACACAGAATAAAATGTTCCAGAACAAAATATTATTTTGCTAGGGTTTTATCCGTTTAGCAATGATTTTGTGTATACGCCATTCGCTTTCAAGGCAGTAAATTACCATATTTAATTCATACAAGCATTTTGGAGGTATACTTTTTTTTTAAAATTCAAACAATTATTTTTGCATTAGATATATAGCTTTATACACTTGAATATATTAATACTACTGAACCATCTATTAAATTATGGGACAATAAAAAACGCGAAAGCTTGTTACAGAAATTTGACATAACTCTTATAGAGCAATTTAAATAAAAACTTGACATTTTGAAAGCTAGCGACACTTTTAATCAGCAAAATGCAGATGATTTAGTTACAAATATCTCCACACTATTTCTTAAAACGTCTGAGGATGCATTTGGCTATTAAATAAAAAAACAACAATAAAGTTAAAGTAGATAACAATACATGTAGCTCTTGGTTTGGAGATCAGTGTAGGTGTGGCGCCACTATATGTCGCATCGCCGCTAAATGTCGCAATGGTAACGTTAAATGTCGCACGATTTCCCTTACAGTTAAATGTCGCAACACTACCGGTTATTGCCGCAAAATTTTAATTCATGTTAAACAAGTAGCTGGTGGTATTATGTTAATGCATTGTGTGTTATGGGACAAACTATCTACAATGTAGGAAATGATTTGCTGTAGTATAAATTCAAATGGTTGAAATGAAGTCATCTTAGTCGATTTTATATATTGACAACCAAAATTTATGCCAAAAAGCCCCTTGGTGATTGAACACATGCATTTGTATAAGTTTTTGTCTCCCGCCTTTTCGATGAAAAAGAGGGATATATAAAAAGGCTCCGTCCGTCTGTCCGGTCCTTAACTCAGCCATTCATCAAGAGATTTCGAAATAACATATGTTCACCAAATCAGGATGACCTGTCATGCTAAACAACCAGACCTCCACGGTGGTCTCACTTGGAGATCAAAGGTCAACACTGTCTGATGGAGGGTACAATTCTTGTCGGGTTTATAACATTTCTTGTCCGTCAAGGTATTTGAAATAACTTGACACAAATGCTCACTATATAAGACAACGCGCTTGCGAGACAACACTGTTTAATGGGGAGTATATGTTTTCCCTATCCATACCGTTTTTCATCCATGAAGGTATTTTGAAATAATATGACACACATGTTTATCATAAAAGGACCATTTGTCATACACAACACCCAGAATCCTACCTTCAAGGTCAAGGTCACACTTGAAGGTCAAAGCTATAAGTGGTCTGTTATAATGCATTTTTTGTCAGATCCACATTTTTTCACTTATCAAAGTATTTTGAAATAAGTTTGCACAAATATTCACCATATAAAGACAATGAGTCATGCATGACACTCTGACCTCTACCAATGTCAAGGTCACACTTAGAGGTCAAAGCTAAACATGGTATGTATTTTCCTTGTCCAGAGAAAAACTCCGAAAGTATTAGAGATTCCAGAGAAACTTAAAATATAAAAAGATAACAGCAAGAGGGAGTGCAAAAATTCGATTAGTTTTTGCCTTTTTTTTCTTTCAACTTTCATTACAAGTTTATGCTTTTGAACTTCTCCACATCAATCGTCTACATATGCAAGGGAGGATGAATGGCAGACATTTTCCTCATTGACCCTTTTTGCGAGATGATGCTTATATAGGTTTATATTTAAGTGTCAAACATAATATCGTTTGATTCTAGCTACTTTGGTTTACGATAGTTATAAGCTAAATCTCCACAGGCGTTACAGGTTTAGCCTCTACCGAACAACATCCACTTCCGGATAAAAAAAAACGCTATAGAAACGAGTTCTTCATTCTGCAGTATTGTTACATTCCGACTACACATTAAAATATTGTTTGCAAAGTTGTTTTAATGCTTTGAAAGTTCCAAATCGTTCATTTTCATGAGATAATAGATTCTGCATTCCTTAAAAGAAAACAAAAAATAACAGTTCATTGATAAAATCGTAGTATATACCTACGAGTTAAACTTCGCATATATACGCATGCGCTTGTAAGCATGAATGAATACATTGTAAATATAGTAAAGTCGTTAGAATTATATAAATGGGACGAAAATTAAATCAAATAAAATTCCTGATTTACATTTATGCAATAAAATTGTCCTAAAATGTTTTACAAAATAAGTACGGAGCTCCGTAACACAATTTACCTGCGTATACCGGAAAATAAATGTTGTTCAATTATCGTGGCTTCGTAAAATAGAAATTTCGAAAGCTATTTTTTTGAATATCTTTTTACACATGATTTTCCTTTCACTTTTGTATGTCTTAGATTTTTCACAAGAAATATGTTTCGAAATTCGGCGTTTATTGCCTGATTCAGTACGAGTAAAAATAAAGATTCGGGCACTCGACCATTCGACCAATAACAATTCGTCGAACTTGGGATATTGACGATTAAGCCAGAGCATGAAGTTAGATATAGGTATCTGTGGCCAGAGTCGACGATAAGAAATAATCATTTGAAACTAACTGTAAATCAGTGTAAGCATTATGCAGGCGTCACACTGTCACGAAATTGACACCAGATGGGCATACGAAAATGGAATTTGAAATTTCGCGCGAAGTTGGCCCCGGAATTGGTCGACAGCCCTTCAACAGCCGAAACAAGTACGATTCCTACAGAAGGTCACGCGATCGCATCCGATCCACACAGGAAGTCACCTCAAAAATGCAAATTTTTACCCGCATGACACGCAAAGGTCACG